TGTACTATAATATCATAGTATGAGTTCCAAGATGGAAATACTCGATAGACTAGATGTTAGCTGAATGATTTTGAATGCTCACAGTGCTTATTTTATTGATTTAAATGGCTATATTAGATACTTTAGCTCAGTTTCACAATGGTCCTTACTTTAAAGGTTGTGATTCGTTGTGTAACCAACAAGTATTCAACTTTTGATCTATTTATTCATCTCGGTTGTTACTACTAACAAATCGGGAAGTAAATCCGCGAGCACACCACAAAAAATTGACCTCTCATTCGGGGCAGCGCCACAAAATATTTGGATCAAAGCTGTGATAATGCCGATATTTTATTATTTCATAGTCGATAAACCACCGTTCCGAGTAGGTTCATATAAATATTTGGGTTGTTTGAAATGCTGGCAGAAAACAGCAGCGCAAAGGGAAATAAATGATTATATTTAATAATTTAACGAATTTACTTCATGTCTGTAATTCGATTTGTTAGTTAATACTGCAGTATGCGGGTAAAACCGGTTTGTAGATATGAGTATTTTATGTAATGCATGTGTACATCATAAACTATAATTATCGCTAAATGGTATATAACTACTGATTGATATTAAAGTGGATACCTCAGTTAAACTGATAATTGAAGTTTAGCGACACTTAGTCTATTCTTGAAGTAGACCAAGCGACAAAGAAATCGAATGTACGGTTTTGTGACCAAAATATTGTATAGAGGTAGTCAAAAGCAGCGTAGATGTCCGATTTGTTGTAGATTCAGTTACTTTATAATTTTATATAGACATATATTGTAATCGCATATGCTGTTACTTGGTCAGCAGGATTCTCCTGATCCTGTTACCAACCTCATTTTGTAGTAATTTTTATAAAAATCATAACATTTTTATGCTCCAATAAACAAGAGTAGATGTTAAACTTCACGGGCAATGCTTGAGCGGAATCCACACACACATGCCACACTGCAGTGCTGAAAGAGGACTAATTTTGGGAGTTATTTCCACAAATGTTGGTACCTCGCTCTGATCATATGTTTGACCACCGCCATCACCAGATTTGCCTCCAGTAGCCGTTTTCTCATAAGGAGCAGAACTTACTTAGCAAAAATCCATGGGCAAGATAAACCAAATTGAACCTATACTTGGTCGATAAAATGCGATGAGGATGATGATGACGTAATCTTTAAAAAATGAAGTCTACGCATGCTGTGCTTCATCTCCAGTAAAAGCATTTTTCCTAATCATTTCCCTCGTCTTAATTTCCTCCAATCACAAACGCGCAATTTCGAATTGCAAATGTTTTCTAGATGGTAAAATTGTATGACAGCACCTGTCAGCAGTTACAATACCTTTGATAACAAGTAATTATGGTCTACCTACACCCAAGGTTATTAATAAGTTAACAAATATTTCAAATAATACTCCTACTGTGTACCAAAATTGCAATTTATATTTTAATTGTGGAATGAATAATTAAGTTTTTAATATTTTGTGATTAAATAAATTAGCGGTTTTTCAGTTCTCAAATTAATACCTACATATGTATTATGTATGCATGTATAATAGGTAGTATGTTTTGTAAGCTCTGTGTATGCAGAATAATCTGGTAGTCATGAAACAGTCTTGCAAATACCATTCGGGAATCTAATTTTTTCCTGCGACAAATTCGAAAAAACAATGCAAAGTGATATTTTTAAACAAAATACATTCGGACCGGTACAAAAATCCTCGGATATTTGTTGAAACCAGCACTCATGCTTCTTGTTAAAAGATTACTTAGCAACGTTTTTTTTTTTTTTAAAATAGATGCCCTGATGATGTTACTTATGAATATTATGTTAGAAATAGGAGTTATTCTCTTGGAACGAACCCAGTGGAAACTATTGTTTCAGGTTAGGAGTAGTCAAAAATACTTATTCTAAGCCCGACAAGTGTGGGGAGGTCTAGTAATCCTTCCCTGTATTACTCTAATCACCTCCTATTCAATAATCTACGTGGAAATGCTGGTAATTCAAATAATAAAATAATTCTATGATAATTAACATTTGTTGAAGTAAAATGACTGATATATACAGAACTACCCTAAATAGGAGGTGGAAAGTAGATGAAAAATGTGCAATTGCTCGTTAATGATTTTTTTAATAAAAGAACTCTCATCTTTGAAAAACGGAAAACGTATACTTCACATACTTTCTACCATCAGCTTGGGGTAATTCTGTTTATATCCAATGTTTTGGATATTCAGTAGGTACCTGCTGTTGATGTTAGTTATCTTTAAATTACTTATTATTGATCTTATGGCACAACCGATTAAACACTTAATTATTCGCTGGGGGTGATAAGTGTACATTAGGGATGGGATGATGCACTAATTTTCACTGGGCTGCATTTATTCCGAAAGAGGGCCGAAAACGCATATTTTAACGATCTCCTTTCAGCAGAAATGCCTTGAATTAAAGTACCGCCAAAATAAAGTGTTAAGGAGTGTAATCACACCACTAAAATCTAAAAAAATCACACCTCAATCGCAGGAAGTTTCCTGATACTACATGGTGCGGCAGCAGGACTTCGTTTTTCCATAATCCAATAAAACCATTGTATGAATCAGAACATTTTTATTTGTCCTTTATAATGTAGGCGCATTTCTAAAGTTTTGTTTTATATAGTTCTGAAGATCAAATTAGGCAGGTGGCGTCTTCCATTGTCCATACACTGAGTAAACCGACTTCTGGAGTTTGTCATGGCTCTTGCTAGCATAGCAGGCGTTCTGTTGGCAATTCCATCCGCTCCGACATCAACCGACTGAATAGCGCGCATTTTAAAAAAGGAAGTTATACTGCCGCACCCTGTATAAACCTTTAATAAGTACAAGATGTTAATATGCTGGAAGAGATGATCATGACAATACGTACCGTCAGGTGCAATCACCGCCTGATGCACGACTCATGTCTTTAACGTTGTTGATAAGTCTGAAACTGTCAAATCACCTTCATGTTTTGTTCATAATGGTAGTTAACAATAACTGTTTACTGGTAGAATAAAGTTCGCGTATACACATGCTTAGGCCAAGCAGCAGATGGTATCAGTCTGTTATACGCTCAACGCGTGGGCAATATCAGCGCTTATATGCTAAAACGTACGCTTATAAAGATTTATTATACACAGATGAAGGACTTAATCTCATAATGGCTATTAAAGTTTAGTTTAATAAGTAGCAATTAGCAGGATAGTTACTTGTTAAGCGAATAATGACTTTATTCACTCATATACAATTTATCGTCCATGATTCGTCTTTTTACAGTTAAACACAGCTTGAAACAACAAAAAACCCAAGCTGCACAGGGTCGAATAACAGGCGTCAAAGTTTACAATTCTGTTACAGGAGGCTCCAAATGTGGTGAGAGACAGAAACTCACATTTTCATGAGTTTTGGTATTATACCACAACCGTCCGATTATCATCTGAAACGCTTTTATACGGATGACGGATGCCTTTACTGGTTACGATTCCAGAATGGTTTCTGGGTTCGAAGATTGTTGGAACACTTTCGGGATCGTGAGTACAAATTGACAGATAGCCAGAATCACTTCTGGGTTGGAAGATAGTTGGAACAATTTCGGGATCGTGCATACAAATTGACAGGTAGCCAATATTGCCTTACCTAACACATCGGAGACATCTCTACCAATGGATTTTTCAGAAAATCTATTATTTTATCGAGAATGTATGTACCTTTTGATATAGCATAGGTTACCTTAGGTTGACTTGCTTTAGGAAACATAAATACTTGCGTGTGTAACGGTTGCTTATTTTCTGTCTAATTTGACAGACGGCCTAATACAGCCTGGGCACTGATCTTGTCTTTCCAACGTTACACAAACATGATTGAAACAAAATACAGTATCGACATGTTACTAAACTTTTTCCTAAATGCCCAAGGGCGTTCCACAATAATTCATGTACAGGTTGTTTCATGTGACAAGCGGAGTTGCGGTCGAGATATTGTTTTTAGCAGCCTTGGTTTTTTAATCCCCTTCAAATAGGACTAATATTATAATAAAAAAACTTAAAACACAATGCGTCATTCTTTATCTTCACACAGGTCTCCTTCCCACATCCGATAAATTAGGATATCTTGGATGCAAAAGCATCATCTCTAACATCACAACTACCTCCACAACTCGCGATCCTTGTGACATAACGTAGGTTTTTCTACAAAATGTGAACTTAGCACTTGAAGGGTACATTTATTTTGAACTCGTTTTGTAGCTGCACATGTTGCCTAAACATCATGATACTTCAGTTATCAATGTTTGGCTCTGAAGTGATGTAACATCTGCTTCAGAGATTGGATTGGACGACGTGTCCTATTAATCTGTATTGATGATAATTCTATTAGTTTCTTGTCTCAAATACACTTACTTGATATGCATTCAAAGCTCGAAATTAGTTGCACATCCATTTTTTCTAATTCATTCTGGAAATTACATATGCAAATTTGCTGAATTTAAGAAATGTGAGGGATAAGAAAAGAAAATCCCTGGAAGTAATTAACTTTATGGGGAATCTTATATTTTATACTTGCATACTGCCACATACTGCAATTATATTCACTGTGCATTGTCGAACTACAAGTCATATACAGGCTAAAAATAATAACACACAACTCGAGCGCGGTGATGATTTCCCGTAACTTTCCTCAAAGAAAAAGCGCAATTTATAATTTTAAATATAACCTGCCTTCAGAACGGACAACATATTATGAATAACCCGTCGGACATAGCTGATAGCTATACTTCATTGGCGGCATATTCAGCAATAATTTTTTCACCTAGCAAATATCACTGATTTTATACACATGCAGACCAATACACATAAAAATCCAGTATCGCACCAACTTTCTTTCTTTCACATTTTCCTAGTGAAAAACACTACATTGCATCCAACAATGCATGATTGAGTCTGCAAGATGACATTTTGTCGTTTTTTAGGTTACCCCGCGGGTGTCTATCTGTGTCAGATAATACAGCTAACAATTCAACTTACACGTAAACATATCTCGAAGAGACTTGCACTACTGATCCGTTTTTCATTATTTCAGAGATCATTCGTGCAGATAATTTCGGTGCATCTAAAAAAATGCGCACCTTAACTAGGTAAGAAGGATCACTAATTTCTTTTGAATACACGTGAACGTTGCTCAAACTTCCTAGCGATCCAGATCTACTATGAGTTGAGTATTCAAATCTCAAAGGATTTTCGGTTGTTTGGATGTCTAGTCATATCTGAATGTGATTTTTCATATTTTACAGATGCTGCTTCTCCTCGAAAACAGAAAACCCCTGGGAGAATTTTATACCTAACTCCACGGGACATCTAAAGCGGAAGGCTCGCAAATGTTCTTGAACATAAATAGAAACTAGTAATATACTCGTAACTTTCATTCGCCCGACCAAAGACGACCAAACATGTTTCGTGCTATCTAGCATCTCTTCAGCATGGTGTAGGCTTGGCCTTGGTGGAGAACGAACAAGTGCTGATCAACCCTATTATATTCAGAGTAAAATTTATATCTAAATAAGACAGCACAAGGAGCCATCTATCACCAGACTCGACCGCTGCGAGACTGAAAATAACTAGCTGTCTGTTAGATCTGTCTGTCAGTTCGCATTGTGAGCCGCGTCATTACCGTGGCCGCCAGATGCCGCCGATTCTGTTATCAGGGTGGATCTGGTCTACTCGTCATTGAACAAACTGGTAATATAGCTTTCATTTGTTCACCACAACTTCTGTAGATTTCGTAAACTAAACATCGGGGCCTGCGTCTCCTGGTAACACAAACTCATTTTTCAACCTTTCACTGATGTTACGTATAAAATGGGGCCAGGAACCTACATCGCGAGTCATTTACATCTCCATTGTGGCTTAGATACTGTGTCCTAAATATTGCAACAGACAAATGAGTAAAAGTTGCCCTTTTAAAGCCACACCAGAACGCTGATTTAAGTGTATATAGCAGCCCAACTCGGGCGTATAGTTATTTTAAGAAAGTACTTTTCTTCTCATGCTTTCTTTTGCCGCTGTCAAGTACAGTAGCGTGAATAAGCAGAAGCTGCAGCGAGCTTAGCTGTCTTGCCACGTTACCTCAAGATTATTTTATTATGTGGGAATCTTTTTCCAATATAAAATTAGTCATGCAATCAGATGAAGACATTCTATGAGTGGAAACATTAAGCTGCAACAGAGGTTTTTTCCATACTCCATACTCATTTCTATAGATTTGTTAATTCTCGACGCCTATACCTTGGAAAGTTCTATATATTAGTCCCTCAATTATTTTTTTAAAAAATATGGTTTTTGGTATCTGTTAGACAAGTTTCATCATTCATTACTCGTACCGTCCACGAAATTACTTTTCTGTGTAACCTCCATCATAGAGGATTGTTGCATACAAAGCAAAAAAATGGCAAATTTCTATCTATCATTATGAAACTTTTCCATATGTTTGACTCATGAATATGACCTTTCGATATAAAGAGTGGGCCATTCGTTGGTTTTTTTTAAACTGGTATTAAAACTACACTCTTCAATAATATGTAACACACGATACTTTATTCAGAAGAATACATCGACCGATTACTTATGAAAAACAATTTCAGTTAAGTGGCTGCCGCGGCTAGCCTGGCAGTAGTCCATCCTCTTAACCCAATTTTGAAGCAAATTTTCGATAGTTTGTGGGTCTATTACATCAATAGCTTGACGGATACTTTCCTTAAGAAAATCAATTGTTTGAGGATCGTTAGTGTAACAGCGGTCCCTAACAGTACCCCACAGGAAGTAATCAATGGGCGTCAAATCAGAGCTGCGGACTGGCCAATGAACGTCTCCAAAACGGCTGATATCGCTATGACCGAACTTAGTGTGTAAAAAATCGATTTTTTCACGGCTGGTGTGGCATGTTGCACCATCCGGCTGGAACCAGAGATTGTGCAAATGCATGTCGTCTAATAGTGGCCTCAAAAAACTCAACATGTCTTTATAGCGTTCCCCGTTGACCGTCATGCTGTTACCATCTTCATCTTGAAAAAAAAGTAGAGTCCAATAATCCCACCACTCCAAAAGCCACACAGTTACTCTTTTTGGATGCATTGATTTTTCTATGACGACATGTGGATTTTTAGAACCACAAATCCTACAGTTCTGCTTGTCAACGAAACCTCCCAGATGGAAAAGGGCTTTGTGTGAAAAGATGATTTGGCGACAAAAATTGACGTCCGTTTCCAATTGATTTAGAGCCCACGCAGAGAAACGATATCGAAGCGGATGGACATTTTGTTTCAACTCTTGCACAAGTTGCACCTTGTAAGGAAATAATCCCAGGTCGTTATGCAATATTCTCCGTACATAAGTGCGACTGATGCCCACTTGTTGTGCTCTGTGACGAGATGACATTGTTGCGTTTTCATGCACACTCTGACCAACAGCAGCAATGTTTTCGGTTGTACGTACGGGTCGAACACGCTCATACCTTCTGTTATCCACAAGCAGGCCAGTTTCATTTCGACCAAATAGTCTTCTTAATTTTTGCAAAGCACTCACTTTGAAAATGGTTTTTCAATTTTTCCCACCATTGTTCAAGATTAAAACGATCCATTGCTCACAGCGGAAGTATGACAATATGTTTTTCAATATGTTGAGCATGGAAGTGTTACCAACTGTCAAAATAATACCAACTTAAAAAACCAAGTGATGGCCCATCCTTCATTTTTATGTTCCAAGCAAAGGAAAAAGATATTTTGGCGAATTTGTACTTCCTAGGCCACTGGCATTGGCGAGGAAGTATTATAATCACAAAAAAGATCAAAAATGGTATATTATTCTTTTCGGATGTTACATAACAAGTACATCACGAAAAATCATATTGTCTGTTTCCGTCTGTCCGCTAGTCCTTGACCCGCTGTATAACTTTAACTACTGCGAACTATAACGACAAAATAAAAAAAACTACACAAGGTTAATTTCTAGAGGTTTTTGATCATTTTCATAAAATTGGAGTGGTTGAAAATTGGAGTTTGTAGGGGGGAGGGTGTCAGTTTTTTGACGTTTGTTTATTTATACGCTTTCAACCTCGGTAATGTTATGCACCTATTAGACATATTGCACACATTATACGTTTCCACGTACATTTGATCCTGAAACTTAGAATATTCTCAACACACGCGTTCTGTACTACGCAACAAATGAATGTACATTGCATACCTGCATGAGGTTTGATAGATGTCTGACCGACGGAATGGGTGGCTGGCGATTTTGGAGGTCAGAAAGCGTAACGTTGCCAGTTGATATGTGCTATCGGTAGTGCAAGAGAGAAATTTCTAGATCACAAGGTTGTAAAATAGGAGATAACTATGGGCTAATTTTATGAGCCTGTTTGACTGACTTGATCAATTTAACTTTTTCTTTATATACTTTTTTTTTCTAGAGGCTTAATTGTCCAGCTTTTAGTTTTGATGGCTTAGAGCCAAAATTTGAAGACTGTATTATTGTACGCTTTGTTTTGCTACCAGAGTCAATAATTAAATATTCAATACCTGTCTGCCCCCTGTGATGCACCACTGCTCTCAACCTAGCTTTCACATTCATGCAAATCGATAATCGTCCGGTATTTCATAGAGAGCTTCGTAAAATTCTGCCGCGGCGCTGCAGCTGGCTTTCTAAAAACTTAATTAGTGCAATTCGAGGATTACCTTCCATTGTATCTCGAGAAAATAGTATTGTTGCACTCCCTACCGTCATTATTTCTTGCAAAGGTTTATTTTCTTTTATAAATCTCTCGGATATTATGGATCTCGTTATGAATCTATACTTCTATTTAAACGAATTATGTCGCCGTGATCTAAAAATTTGTTTGAATATGAATTATTCATTTTACGGATATGTGCCCTAAGTGCATTCGAGAACAGTGAAATCTCATAAAGCACGAGGAATATAAAATTAAATGCTCGGGAACGCGACAATCTGGTACAGTTTAATGCCTACAAGACGCGCCCTAGCGCTCATCTGATTTCAATGGATGGCCGAGTTCTACCAGGGAAAAAGCTAGGCTATTTATAAAATAGTAGAAGTAATTTTCACCACATAACCTCCTCACTCAGTACAAGGCCCAGATAGGACCTAATCTCGAGTACAAATACATTATCCATGCTGCTCAGACGAGGCTGTCCGACTGATCGATGACTCTTCTTTCGGCAATTTCGGGATCATTCCACACCGACGATCCATCGGCGCCGGCGGCCTAGGTCACCTGACTTGGACCTCTCATTCTAACCGTGCCGAACTTCAAACCTCCACAACTGGCCGATACGACCACTCCCTTGTCCCTTGCCCATCTAGATGTAGAACCATCTAAGTGAGGGGGCTTTCCCAGTTCTTCTGACCTTAGGCAGTTCACAACTCTAAGTAACAAAATTTCTTTAAGCTCCCCATAGCAGCCGCGGTGCCCTGGTATTTAGGCTTCTGCCTACGAGGCTGCTTCGGTATTGAAAAAATGATCAAAGTATGGCATGCTCAGACACAGATACAAAATGATTTATAAAATGGCTTTGTTTTCTGCAATTTCGAAATGTGTAAACGAATACAGCGTTTTTTATAGGTGACACACCGCAACTTTCGATTTCAATGTTCAAGTTTTGTAAAATTGTGGTCCCTTATGAAAGTTGATTAAAAATTAATTCAAACAAGATAGGAGCATGAGTAGAGTGAATTGTGACAGGCGGGGTACAGAAGATGGAGTACGAGAACACACTTAAAAAACTCTTCACAATACCGTTGCATCGTAGATACAGTAATCGACAAAAGTATATAGACAAATATGAATATTTACCTAAATACATTTAGAAAATGAATTCATACTTCATTGCTCCTTAAACAAATGCGTTATTAGTAGAAAAACTGAATTCATTGTTTTTACATTAACTGCAATGAACATAATTTAAGTCTGAATATAAGCACTTTTTTATGAGGGACGAACATATGCAGACAAATTCTTATCAACATTAGTTTAGTACAGTTTCGTGACAAAAGAGGAAGAGTTTGTGTTCATTGAGTATTGTGGAATCAACAAGATCATTGAGTTATACAAGGATGGTCAACGTCAAGTCGGCATTGCCAAAAATTTTAAGCTGAAGCGTAAAGCAGTTTGGGCAATATTGAACAAATATAAATAAAAAGGCAACATGGAAGCCTCTGAGAGAAGTGGTCGGCCTAGAAAACCAAATGCTAGAGCAGTTATATTATTAAAAGTAATTTCGTCCAAGGATCCGTTTAAAACCCCAAGATAAATAAAAGCAGAAATCTAGACAAAAGTAATTGTCGGTGTATCTACGAAAACTATAATTAGAAGATTAAATTATTTGACGTTATTTGCACGT